TTGCCTGTGTTTACCATGATTTTTCTTTTAAATCATTTGAGACTCAGATCAAATACTGACTTACTCTGCAAAAGTTCCCTCCACCCCTATGCTCCAGCAATCCTTCTGTGTATTGTAATTACCGGTGTTTGCATATTTTTCCTGAGATCCTAAGGGAAGTGTTTGAATATATGCCAAGTATCCTGTACAAATTAGGTCCTCAGTGGGTATATATAATTGGATGAATAAATGAGTTACCAATTTAATGAACTTGGTTATTTGTCTTTCCCTTCTGGGCAACTTGGCAATAGTTCTAAGTGTAAGATGGTTGCAGGAAGCACATCTGGTGAATACCTATGAAGCCTCAGCCCAAGTAGAAAAACACAGCTCCCTGGAACTGTTCAGCATGGATTACTCTCATTTCAGTTTCACTAAAGGTATCACTATAAGAGCACAGTATAATAAGTTATCCCATTTAATTAATGCATAAAGATTGTGTATTAAATACAGTGTTTGTTTTCAAGATGGTAAAGCATGAAATAATTTTAGAAAGATCTTCATCAAAACTGGTTACAGTAAGATTTTTGATACTTGAAGAAGTAAATTTTAAATACTCCGATTAAAATATAGTAGACTTTACCAGGTTTAGGTAATGTTCATGAGGATAAATGTTGCAAGCCTGATTCCTTGGAGATCCGAGGGTTAGAAAAAAAAATCTAGAGTAGCTTTCCTTAAGGATTTATCCTTCCATCTACTAATTAGATATTATCACCTAATGATCAGTTATTAGTGGTATTAGTAGATGTACGCAGATATTTCAGAAATTGTATGACCCTTATTCTTGGCTTATCACTATTTTAGGATCATTGTTTTAGAAATTTAGAAGCTTTGATGTGACTTACATGGTTGTGTCTGTCCATAATTCTTTAGATCATTCGATGTTACTTAAGGGCATTATTCTTTGGGCTTTTATGACATTTGATTTTTAAATTTCTGGGTAGCAAATTAAAATTAGGTGAAGGAAAATGAATTAAATTGTTTTTTTGATATGTTTTTGTTCTACTGTAGAACTGTAATATTTTGAGTGGAACTTTCAGAGACTATAGTCTTAAACGTGAGCAAAAACTCTCCCTATTTCCCAGTTCTTGACTTTTCAAAGCTGGTTTGTAATGGTTGTTTTATTTATGGATAGACAGATTTCTTCTGGAAGTGAAGCACAAGTAACGAGAATCTTTTACAGTGTTTCCCCATCCCCCATCGTAATTGAATTAGTTGAAGAGAAGAAGTGTCTGTGTTCATTCATTAATGAAATAGCTTATTTATATAACTATGGTATGATCATAGATAGTAAACAAGTAAATAAAAAATGTATTCTTGCAATTCATAGAAAAATGAGTATTTGTCTTACCCTCATATTTCTTACCTGATCAGTTACCCATTCTTGAATATCTTCAAAACTTATCCTTGCCTATCCATTTTTACTGCCATTGTTTTGGTTTATGACATCATTCATTTGGATGTACTACTGCCTTTCTCACCTATGTGGTCCTTCTCATCCTCTCCTGCCAGAGAGAGAGGGCTTTCCAGTATCAGATCAGTTCCTTTCTTGCATAAAATTCTTAGTTTGCTGAAAGCCCTTGTTATGACACACAGGGACTCTTCATGTTAGGACCTCTAGCCACTTTCCTGTCACAAACTCCACCACTATCAACGACTAAAGCTATTAGTCCACTACCCGCTGGCTTCTGTTAGTGTTGGTAAGTCAGGCACCCAGCATTATTGTGTTCTTTTGTAGGTGGTATTTGCTTTCTAATCCCTTTTAAGAGGTGGCTCCCCTCACCCTGCAAGTAAACCTCTGTGTTACATAGTTTCACAATGGTAGCTAAGTGTACATTTTTATTTACCCTGCTTGGAATTCTTTGACCTTTATTTGAGGATTGGCATCTTTCAACAGTTGTAAAGTTCTCATGCAATATCACCAAATTTTCTTTTTCCTTATAGAGCTCTGCTTACATAGATTGTGGACCATTTTATTCTTCATGCTTTTTTTCCAAATGAAGTATTGTGAAAAGATATAAATAGTCTAAATGTCCAATAGAGGATTAAAAAAGTAACATTTCAGCCATAAAAACAATAGGTCAATAATAAAAGAGTATGTAATGACATGGAAAGATGTTCACAATACATTAAGTGAAAAAAGCAGGCTATAAAACAATATGCATAATGAGTCCATTTTTATAATATGTGCAGTTGCCAGAGTAAAAGGACAAATGATATTTATTTACCAAATATTAATGTTAGTTACTTGAATGCCATAGGATAACGGGAGATTTTGTTAGTTTTTTTGTGGGGGAGACATTTAGGTTTTTAATTTTCTGTAATGAAGATTACTTTTAGGATAAGGCAAGAGGGTTACTAAAATGTAAATTAGCCCAAAAAAGCCCTCTCAGTTCATTCTGGCAAAGTAAATATTTCTACAAAATTACTTAGACCTTACAAATTTGAGCACCCTTCGCTCTTCCTTCTAGGAATGTACACTAGCAGTTGTTGATACAGAACTAAAAACTACTCCAGTAAATTATTACCACAGAGAACAGATGAGAAGATACAAATTCTCAATAAAAATATATATTGCTCAAATATTGTTCAGATAATACAGTTACATCACCACATTTTTTTGCAAAGACAAAGACATTAAACTAGAAGTTGTAGTCTTCTGCTTCACACATTTCAGTACTCAACTCTTTGTTTTACTCATCTGTGCTGAACGTCTGTGTATATGGTGATGTCTGATTGTTTATTGGTTCCCATAGTGTAATAGGTAACTTGACATTTCAGTTGAAAAGATAAAATAAGGGCTTTTACTATCAGATTATAAAATTCCTTTTCTGGAAGAAGGTGGTATTTGCAGATGTGCTTTGAAAAAAATACTAAAATGACAAAGTACTATTTCAAGATCACTAGGCCTTTGTTAAACTTAAGTGAATTACAGTAAAACTGTAAATCAAAGACAAATCTAACTTTAACAGAAAGTTCCATTAACTATAAGGCTATTTTAGCAAGCAAAATGTACAGTGTAAGCAACTGTCAAGGGGCATCAGATTTAATGGAGTGGACATTAACTTTGCATTAACACTTAATTATCAATTACATTAAAAATGTTGCTTTAAGCGTGAATATTTTGCCAAGAAAAAACTAAAAATTTTAAATGCACCAAAAACAAAAATCTCACTAAGTTATTACGTAGGATTATGTGTGAAAGCAAACTCATATAGGAATCAAGGCAAATGGCATTCAAAATAAACTCTACCTGTATTTTATTAAAAGGGCAGATATTAATTAATCCAGCTGCCTGTTTAAATTATAATAGCACCATGACTCAACTTAAAAATAAGAAATTGTCTACAACTTGACAGTATAAAAAAACATTTTAATACTTTAAAATCCAAGTTTTTAAAATCATGAAAAAATTCTCATCATATTAATTAGTAATTAATACCTCAATTAGTCAAGGTAAACATTAGGAAGCTAAGTTACTATGACTTAATATACAGAAAGGAATCTTTCAGAATGAGGATATTAGAACAAAATGAATATTAGAATAGTTTCATCTTGCTGTCTCCCCAAAACCAACCAACCCTCCCACCCACCCTGTACCCATTAGACCCCCCATTACCCCCAGTCCTTCCTCTCATTTCTCAGCAGCCACCAGCCTTTCTGTCCCTGTAGAGTTGTCTATTCTGGACATCTTGTGTAAATGGAATCATACAATATGTAGTCTCGGAATTGACTTTTTTCATTTAGCATGTTTTAAGTTTCATCCATTTTATAGACAGGCATGTATCAGGGTTTCTCTTCTGTTATGGCTGGATAATATTCCATTATATGGATAGACCACATTATAGTAATCTATCTGTTGATGGATATTTGAGTTGTTTTCACTTTCTGTGATTATGCATAATGTTGCCATAAGCATTCATGTACAAGTACTTGGGTGGGCATGTTTTCATTTCTCTTGCATTTATACTTAGAAGTGGAATTTCTGGGTCATGTTTCGAGCTCTGTTTAACCTTTTGAGTAACTTCCAGACTGTTTATCAAAGCATTGTATTATTTTACATTCCCATCACCAATGTAGACTTTAAAAACTATTTTATTCATACCACGCAGGTTCCATGCTTAAAAACATTGCCTTAATTGTATTACAGAAAACTACCATATCCCATCCCTGAAATAACATTCTTCTCAAAATTTCCTGCATGTACAGCTCTTTTTTTTTTCAGCTTTATTGAGATATAATTGACACATGACATTGTATAAGTTTATGGTGTACAGTGGCCAACACTTGTTAAGTGTTTTTGATTATGGTGGCTGTGAAGTGATATTTCATTGTGGATTTGATTTGCATTCCTCTGAGCATTATCACATTTGGCCATTTGTTTCGGGCATTTGTATATCTTTTTTGGGGAAATGTCTGTTCAGATACTTTGCCTATATTTAAATTGGATTTTTTGTCTTTTTATTATTGAGTTATAAGAGGTCTTTATATATTCTGAATACAAGTTTCTGGTCAGATTTGCAAATGTTTTTTTCCCATTTTGTGGGTTGTCTTTTTACTTTCTTGATTGTGTCCTTTGCAGCAAAAGTCTAAAAAAAATTTTGATGAAGTATTCAATTTTTCTCTTGTTGCTTGGGATTTTAGTAGTCACAGTTGCAGGATTCATTCAGAGAACCTAATTTCCCATATTGTCAGAACTGGGTCTTACAGCATCATGTGATTCATAGTTGTAATTATTGTATGCACATATAGTGATTTTGTGTTTTTTTTCTATTTGGCATTTTTTTGTGTGTAACATTTCATCTGTTTATATTGCCCATGCTTCATTTTTAAGAGCTGTGTTATGTTGTGTGGTTGCACTGTAGCTTACACTGTAACTTGTTTGTTTTTCAACTTCATGATTTAAATAGTGCTGACAGGCAGCTATATCCATCAACTTAGAAGTTATATTTTTCTTCCCATAGATAAGATTGACATGAAACAATTGATAGCAAAGAAGATACGGTTGACTGCAGAGGCAGAGGTAAGTAACACCCTCTTTTAGAAGCAAAAATTGTTTTGGTTAGTAAAACTTTTTATGCTCAATTGTTTAAAGAATTATTTACCTTTCTTACAAGTAGACCCTACCCTGCGGGGGAACAGGACAATAAGGTCTGCCACCTTGTCATCCTATGTAAGAACCATATTGCCTTTCCTCTTACATCCCATCCATCACTCATTTTCTGGCTTTTACCAGAGTAAAACTCTGTTTTAGTGAACTGTGATACAGTTGAATGAATGAATCCATGAATAAGTGCTTTATGAAAGTATCTATCTTGGTTTATAGTAAATAACAGGTCTCCAGTAAATGTTGATTCTGAATCTCAAAGTAGACCCTTGTTAGGGATGTAGAGGAATTATCAAGTCAAAAGCAACAATATGGGGTCATTTTAAGCAGAGCAAACAGTTCTAGAAGTCAGAATTCAGCATTGACCTCAGGAAATTCTGGAGGACAAAGAAGAATTTTTTTCTATTATAGTTTAATACTGTGTGTGCCTGAATGTTAGTGGACTTCAAATGTAAGGCAGCCTACCTTTTTCCCAATGAGAAGATCACTTCCAAAATTTATGGGCCAACTTGAATATGTAAATATCCAATGATATAGATGAAATAGCCTTGTTTCTATTTATTTAGTTACATGTACGTGCATGCATATATTATGCATTTATATATAGTATAATTTAAATTTAGATATTTTATAATCAAATTTTATAAAATGGTTACTGTAAGATTATTTACATTCACTTCTTTATTAGTGTCTTTGTAATTATTAGAGCTAGTTTTTCAGTTATTTTCTAATCCCAGGACATAACATTTTCACTTTCATCTTGTGTTGGATACATGGCAACTTTTGAGTCCAGGGATGATGGTGTCACTAAAAATTTAGTGCAAATACGTATTTGCTTAACATTAAGAGATCTCTTCTTCCCTTCCCATTCATCAGGTAGGTGTATTTGTGATTTTTGCAATGTAACCACTTAATTGTATTGTTCTATAAAGTGGTTTTCAAAAGGTATGTTTACTATACTGGAGACCAAATCTAGACTTCTAGTTAGTAGTTTGTTAAATTTTATTTAATTTTACTGATTCCATTAGGTTACCTGTGTAAGCCTTTACAATTATAATTATCAGAGTCATTTAATAATTTTTGTAATTAATAATTCCAATTAATAATCTCTTCCATTCTAAGAGACTAAAGACTTGATTATTAGGTAAATTCTAGTTATCTCAGAGTCTTTCAGGGTTCCAGACCCAGTTCCAACATTGGGCAGCTTCCCCTTCATATACCACCAGGCAATTATTGTGCAACAGCAAGGTGTCTGAGAATTTAACTCAATTCTGACACCATCTACCCGGAGATACCATCAGATCCCATAGGCTAAAGGCCCAGTCCTACAGGACTGCCTGCCATCATCCCCCGCTTCAGACAGCAGTCACAAGCACCAAGCTGTGTCCTGCGCTTCTGTTGACCCCCCTACAGACTGGAGGTTCCCAGGAACTCCTCCTTAGGCTTGATTAGTTGTTAGAGCAGCTCACAGAACTCAGGGAAAACTTACTTAGGTTTTCCAGTTTATTAAAGAATCGTGAATCAACAGCAAGATGGAGAGGTACTTAGGGTGAGGCTGAACAAAGGAGCTTCTGTCCTCCAGGAGCTTGGGGACTTGGATGGCATCAGAAACCATCCGTTTCCCCAAGTGTGGAATAAAAGGGGCCAAAAAGCCGTCCTCTTCAGTTTTTATGGAAATTTCATTGCACAGTCGTGACTAAGTCATTAGCCATTGGCTGATTCAGCCCCTCTCCCCTACCCAGAGGTCGGGGTGGGTAGGACGGAAAGTTCCCACTCTGTAATCACATGGTTGATCCTCCTGGCAACCAGGCCCTACTCTGGTGTGTGTGTGTGCAAAAGTCAACTTCATTAATAACAAACGACGTTTTTATCTTTCTCACTTAGGAAATTTCGAGCATTTTGAAACGTATGCACCAGAAACTGTGAAGACCAAATAATATTTCTTATAAATCACAGTATCACAGAGCAATAATTTATACTTTTGGCTAACAGAAGAAAAACATTTCATATGTAGGCACATGTGCTATTTTTAAGGGCCCATTCTTGCAAATTTAGTTATTACAAAAATAAAGAAATTTAGTTTTTATGGGTCACCAGAGTATTTCTGACTCTTACTCCTCTAGTCAGGCTGGAAACCCGTTTATCTTCCATTTGTTTTCAAATTCCTACTCAGTTCCTCTTTTGGTCCTTCTCTTCCCAGCAAGAACACAGCCCTTACTGTGTTCTGTTTGGAAAGGAAAATTTCTGTTGGGTGAAAGGTCCCTGCTATCATTGCTGTTTATTTAAAAAATCTAAAGTGAGAGGAGTAATTTAAAAAATCTAGTATCACAAACCCAAAGGGGAGATGGACTGTGGTGTGCAAGTAGAGGTGAATGGAGGGAATGTTTCAAGGACTTAAGTTGAAACTTTGTTTTTATATAGAGTATTCTACTTACCTGATTTATATATTGATCAGTTGATAATATAAAATTTCATTTTCCAGTTAGGTCAGTTAGGATTTGAAGGAGAGAGGAATGAATAAAGTAAGGGAAAAGAAGCTGAGGGAATTGTGGACAAAGGTTTAACTAGTATTATTTAATACTCTGTATTGTGCAAGGGATAATCAGGGTCACAGAGTTGTGTAAGACTTGTCTGTCGTTAAGTGAGGATGTGTCTTGAGCAAAGGTTTGGAGGTGGAAAACTTACCCTCTGTCTTGGAAATGTCACTTGATTGGCCTCTGTGCCCCTCTTGGGGTACATGATAGAAAAATCTAGTTGGAAAATTGGGGCTAGATTCTAAAGTATTTTTTGTCTACTTTTATGCCCTTGTTTATGAAGCTCTTTCTACTTGAAATTTCCTACCTTCACCAATCAAAATACTGTATATCCTTCAAAATCTAGATCAAATGCTGCTACCTTTGATGATGATTTCCACATAGCCAGGTTTGAAATGATGTTTCAAAATACCGTTTTCTACATACCCCCGTTTTCTAAATACCCCAGCTTGGAAAAACGTTCTCCGTACTGTATACTTCTGAGCACTTAGTTCCCAGCAGTATTGTATACTCTGTATTTATTACAAGGTGCTTTGTTGTGGTGAATCACCAAAATTCTTTTGGTGAACTTACAGGTGATTTGACTTAGGAATGTTTTAATTTGCAATTTAATATCTAACAAGATTGTACATCTTGCCATTGTTTATTAGTAGGAAGGAATGATTTTGAGGGAGGTATATTAGGAATGCTGTTGTGATATCAAAGTTGAGGATAATTTATAGAATTTGGAGATGATGAGACCAGACAGGAAGCTACTGTAGTATTTTAGTGTTGTAGACTGAGTAAACAAAGGACAGGGAGAAGGGAGCTGCATCTGGAGGTCCTATTAGGATCTATAGGGTGAGGTACTCCATGCTTTACATGCATACTCTTATTTATTTAAATTATTCCACTTATAAGGGTGTTCTTTGAACTGGTTACATTTTGTTGTTGGTTTGCTTTATTGGTTGGCATTTACTAAAGGAAAATGGCCATTAAGGTGACAGGTATGTGAGTATTGTACAGAGCCATGAAATTTACTCGTTTTTCTCAGTTGAGGGTTTTGAGGAATAATTTTTAAAACAAATGACAGGAATCTTTCTAGATGTTTGTAATTTGGTGTCAGGCTGCAGTGCGGTTGTCATTTACCTTTACTGGACAGTCTTCCCTAATCTTTACAGTGAGAGTGTTGGGCTGGTTATCTCCAAGATCCCCTTCAGCCCTGAAGTCTGTGTTATAATTACATAGTGTCAAAAACTGAAATTGAGCTGAGTAAATGTTAAGATCTAATTGGCTTTATTAAGTGATTTCATGAATCAGGTATCATCCCATCTGGCAAGTAGAGAGGTGGCTGCTGATGGTGTTCATAGGAAGGAGGTAGGATAAGAAGTTACTAAGAAAAGAAAGGATTGTTTCAGGCAAGGTCACTTTCCCTATAGCGTGGGGTGGGGGGGGCTTTCCATACAGATTACCTCATCTTTTGGGGGATGGAGAGGGCCCATTGCCCCAGATGACCTCATAGGTGCTGACCAGAAAATTCATGATTGACTGTTGAAAGATGACATTCCTGAAACAGGTTGAAACTAATTTAGTCTTAGTTTGGAGGGCGGGAAGCAAATGACTCCATTTGTTTTGTCGTTTCATTTTTTTCTAACAATAGCTAACTCCAACTTTGTGCTCCTAATTCACTACTTCCTGTTGTAAAGGGAATGGGTAGTCTCTAGATCTTACTGGGCAACGTATTCAGCTCCACAGAGCTAGAATTGTCAGATACAATATGGTGTGCCTAGTTAAATCTGCATTTCAGATAAGCAACAGTTTTTTTAGTTATCATGCAATATTCAAGACAGACAAAAACTTAATTGTTGTTCATCAAGCTCAAATTTAACTGGGTGTCCTATATTTTGAGTTGCTAAAATCTGGTGACCTACAAAGAGCTGTCTGTGAACATTTAGAAATATAGAGGAGCTCATATTAAGGAAAGGTGTGGAGAAGGTTGTCAAGTACTGAGCAAGCTCTTCAGTCTGAAGGGAAGAGGAATGAGGGAGGTTGATGACAGTGGGTTGAACTCATTGAGTCTATGAAGGCTACTTCTAGATGTTGTCATAAAGTTTTAAGTACTTAAAAAAATAGGGTGCTAGTAGGATCATACATTGTGTAACCTGGAGACATAACCTTTTGAAAGCCTTAGAATTGCGTTGTGACAAGACAAAATATCTCAGAACATCCAGGGGAGATTTAAGTGATTAACTCCCAACCAGGTCAGGCTAATAGATAAATTGGCTTTGCTGTACATTGTTTTAGTTAAGCTGTTTATTTCGGTTTCAGGGAACAGAAACCCCTTTGGCTTATTTAAACATAAAAGGAAATGTGTTTGAAAGATACTAATGTATTTCATAGAAT